ACTTAAGAACATTAAAATATGAAATATATAATTATAAATCAATAAAAATGTGTAGTATTTGTACACTGTGCTTTATAAAATGCTGATAAATAAATTAGAGAAGATTTAAATAAAAGGTCTATTGCACCATGTTCTGAGCTTTGAAGACTAAATATTAAGATGTCAAATCTCCTAAGATTGATCTATTGATTCAGTGCACTCTCAATTGAAATCTCAGTAATAATAGGCCATTTTCTAAAAAAGAAAACTTCAATTTAATTCTAAGATTTATATGGAAAAATAAATGAATGATGATAGTCAAACTTTAAAGAATTTTTAAAAACAAACTTGGAGAACTGATTTTAAGATATTATAAAGACTGTGAAGTATGTGTAAAAAGATAGATCTATAGATTGCTGGCACAGAAGATAGAGTTCAGAAATGGACTCCAAAAATATTTAATTAATTTTCAACAAGCTGCCAAGGCAATTCCAAGGAGGAAGAATAGTCATTTTGGGAAACAGATGGAGTAACTAAATACCCACATGCATAATAATATATATCTCAGACCACACCTTGAACAATTTACAAAATTTTGCTTGAAAACATGCATAAATGTAACATAAAATCAAAAAGCACAAAACTTCTAGAAAAAAATAATGAGGAAAATAATCACATTGTTGAGTTAGAAAAAAAAGGAAGAAAAAAATCAATCTTACATAGAAAACACTCCTTAATAACCAGTGAGTCAAATATGAAATTACAGGGGAAATCAGCATAAAAATTAAATGAAGAAAGTTAATGAAAATTAAAATATAATAAACCAAACTCCTTGTTCAGTGAAAGCAGTGTTGAAGAGAAACTGGTTGCTATAAAAATTACATTAAAAAAGAATAAAAGATTTCAACTAAATAATCTAAACTGCTACTTCTAAAAAAGAGAAAATAAACAAACTAAGCCTAAGCAAGCAGAAAAGAAATAATAAAGACTAGAATGGAAATAAGTGAAATACAGAAAAGGTGAAAAAAAATCAATAAGATCAAAAGTTGGTTGCTTAAAATGATCGAGAAAATTGATAAAACTGATAGCTAGGCTGAAAAAAAAAGAAGGGAATCCCCAAATTACTAAACTCTAGAATAAAAAGAAGATATCACTACTGATCTTATAGAAATTTAAAAGATAATGTGTAAGTATTATAAACAGCTATATGCTAACAATTTAGATAATTTAAATAAAATAGACAAAATTCTAGAAAGACAAAATACCAAAATGTCTCAAGAAGAAATATAAATAGATCAATACAAATAAAGCAATTTAACAGATGACTGTAATACTTCCTGTTATGGTTTGGATCTGAAATGTCCCACAAAGATTTATGTGTTGAGGGCTTAGTCTTTAATGTAGCAGTGTTCAGTGATGGGGGTTTTTTGGAAGTAATTGGGATCATGAGGACTCTGATCTCATCAGTGCATGCATTCATTAATATCTGAATATACTACTGGGAGGGGAGACCTACTCAAAGGGAGTAGGTCACTAGGGGCATGGCCTAGAAGAATATTTTTGATCCCCACTGCCAGTTTCCTAACTGCCATGAGCAAGCAACTTTCTTCTGTCATGCCTCTTTGTGATGGTCTGCCTCACATCAGGCCCAAAGCAATGGAGCTAGCTGCCCATGCATTGAAACCTCTGAAACCACAAGCCAAAACAAATCTTTCCTCATCTAGGTTCATTTTCTCAGGTATCTATCATAGCAACAAAAAGCTGACTAACACACTTTACATACAAAAAAGCCCAGGCCTACACTTAGTCCTTTTTGTGCTTCTATAACAAAACACTTGAGATTGGGTAATTTAAAAATAATAGAGAGTTATTTCTTAATATTCTGGAGACTAAGAAGCCCAATGTCAAGGGGCCTGCATCTAGTGAGGGCTTTCTGACTATGTTACCCCATGATGGAAGGCAAGAGAACATGAGAGAGACAAAGACAGAGAAGAGAAAGGGGCTGAACTCATTCTTTTGTCAGTAACCCACTCTAGAAATAATGACATTAATCTATTCATAAGGATAGAGCCTTCATGACCTAGTCACTCTTAAACATCCTACCTCTTAACCTGGTTACATCAGGGATACGGTTTCCAACACATGAACTTTGGGGGACACATTCAAACCATAACAAGGACATTCTACCAATTTTTTCAGAAAGAACTAATACCAATTCTTCCCATTTTTCCCCAAAGATAGAAAAGGAGGTAGCTCCTCCCAATTTATTCTTGGAGATCACTACTACCCTGAGGCCAAAACCAAAGGCATCATGGGAAAACTATAGACCAATATTCATAGAAGCAGAAAACCTCAATAAAATACTAGCAAATCAAATCCAGCAGCATATACAAAGGATTTTACACTATAATAAAATTACACCTATCCCAAGAATACAAAGTTGATTCAGCTTATGAAAATGTATGTATATAGCATAATTTGCCATATTAGTAGAACAAAGAACACATAGTTATCTCAATTGATACAGAAAAAAGTATTTGACAAGATCCAACAATAACTCAATAAAAACATTCAACAAATAAAGCTAGATAAAAAGTATTTTTTAAAAACTCACAGGTGGCATAATGTTTAATAATAAAAGAATAAGGTGCCCCCCAAATCAGGAACAAAACAGGGATGTTCAATCCACCACTCCTAATCAACATTGTATTAAAGTACTTACTAGCTATGACCATAAAGCAACAAAAAAATAAAAGGCATCTTTTTGAGAAGGAAGAAGTGAAATTATCTCTATTTGTAGATGATACGATCCTGTAAATAGAAAATCCCAGGGAATAAGAAAACAAAACATTAGAGCTAATAAACAGGTTCAACAAGATTGCAGGGTATAAGATCAATGTTTATAAATCAATTGTATTTCAATCAATGAGCAATGAGCATCCAAAAATGAAAAAATAATTCCATTCATAATAGCATGAAAAGAACAATTTTTTATGATAAATTTACAAAAGAAGGAATGACTCAAATACTGAAAACTACAAAACATTATTAAAGAAATTAAAGAAGTCCTACTAAGTAAATGGAAAGATATTCTGTGTTCATGGATTGGAGGACTATATACTCTTGGTATGAAAATACGCCCAATATTAATCTACAAATTTAATGCAATTTCTATCAAAATCCCAATTGCTTTTAGCAGAAACTGGCAAGCTGACTCTAAAATACATACAGAAATTCAAGTGAATCAGAATAGCCAAAACAATATTAATAAGAACAACATCATTGGAAAATTCACATTTTCCGGTTTCAAAACTTATGACAAGGTTATTATAGTCAAGGTAGTGTGACATCAGCATATATATATATATATATATATATATATGCTGATGTCACAAAATTGAGAGTCCAGAAATAAACCCATATGTTTACGGTCATCTGACTGTCAAATAGTATGCCAAGACAATTCAATGAAGAAATGGTATTTTCCTTTCAACAAATAGTGCTGGGACAACTGGATATTCATGTGCCAAAGAATGAGTTTGGACCCCTATCACATTAATAAAAAAGAAAACTAACTCAAATATGTAGAAGCAAGATTTGAAGTTATAAAATTTTACAAAAAGAAAACCAGTATAAATCTTCATGACCTTAGATTAGGGAATGACTTCTTAGATACACATAAAGCACAATAAATCAAAAATAAATAAATAAAATTCATAAAAGTTTAAAACTTTCGTGTTCCAATAAATACTATCAAGAAAGTGAAAAGAAAACCCACAGACTCCAAAATTATACAAAGAATTCTCAATATAAAAAGACAGCACAATTAATAGGTTAATAGGCAACCTAAGTCATAAAACTAGTCAAGACACAGAATATAGATTAGAACCCAGGTGATCTGATCCACACACACAAAAAAATGGAATAATTTCAACCACAACCTATGTATTTCTTCCATACCATAAAATATACACAAGACATGGTGTGCTTAAAAACTGAGTTACACTAGGAAAAATATGTCGAGAAGTCTAGAAAACTGCACATACAAAAAGACACCATATTTAAGTGATGGAATTAGGGGTTGTTTCCCAAATTTTATAAAGTAAGATGAATTATCTATACTAATATTTTTTTGTTAAAACGCTATGTTTAGAATGTAAAGATTTTTTTAAAAAAATACACACAGAGATTTAGAGGAAATAAAATTATAATGTGCTGTCACTGAAAAGTTATGTTCCTGCATAGGCTAAAGTCTTGATACTGGTTCAAACTAGTTAAGATGCTAGTAAGCTCATGACATATGACATATGACATATGCCTTGTTTCACAAGTTAGAGTAGATAGATCCACTTGTAGAAAATAAGAAAAAATGCTTTTTTTAATATATTTTTTATTTGTTCTAATTAGTTATACATGACAATAAAATGCATTTTGCCATATTATACATAAATGGAGTATAACTTTGAATGCTTTGTTTTTAATGGTAGTATTTCAATAAAAGGTCAGAATTATTTTTCAAATACTGTCTTATTTGGGAGAAATACTTAATAGATATTTTCTGAAGCTGACTCAAATTTCAACTGAACCTGTGGCTCTTTCGAAAATCATTCTCACATATCATTAAGAGCTAGCATTGAACATAGGATTGCCAGACTTAGCAAATAAATACAAGATATCTAATAAAATTTGAATTTCAGATAAACAACAAGGAATTTTTAGTATAGGTAATGTTTGGAACATACTGCATACAAAAATCATACAAAATTTATCTATCTGAAATTCACATTTCACTGGACATCTTGCACTTTATATGGCAACCAGATTTGTGAAGAAACTTAGAAATTGTCTTAAACTTTAACATTAAAATACAACTAAATAATAAGTTTTGATAATTGGAAAAGTGAGTACTCTGCTACAAGGAAAATTTCCAAATTCTAGCTTAAATTACTGGATATTTTCTCCATAAGTAGAAATATATTATAAGATAACTTATTTTTATTAGTCAAAAAAGCATGCTTTACCCAATGAGATTTTCATTCTTCTTTTCTGCTGAAAGTGGCATTCTAGCAGAACCATTAAATTCTTCCAAAAGTAGTGTGACTGCAATGTTCATAAGTTGACGGATGAGTTCCTGAAGTATGCAGTCAATCAGCATCATAAACCTGTAACCTGTTTCCAATAAATGCCGATATGCACACAACTTGAAATGTGTTGTTTCACCTTCAAATGACTTTGATTCAAAATATTCTTTAATTTCTTTCTTTTCTGCAACCTACAATTTTATAGAAAATTGAGAACTGTGATAATTTCCTATGTTAATACAGCATGGTTTCTAGTTTCTAGTATTTCATTAGTCTGAATAACATATTGGAGTTAAAATTGATCAAAAACTTCCATTAAAATTTTACTTTATGCTTGTAAGGTATGTAAACATCAGCCAAAAAGAGAATAATTTATGTGTTTTGAAGCTTATCTCTCTAACAAGTAGATAAATTTTGAAAGTCAAATAAGAAAGAACATACTAATTTTGTATCTACATGTTTCAACATAGAGGGGCCTTCTGTAACAGTGTATAAGATACCTAACAGCATACAGAATGAGAATGTTCTGAGAGGATTGATCATTATATTATTGAATCTTCTTTCAAGTTTTTTTTCATATAGTTATGTTTTTTCATCTTGCCTGAGCAATGTTTTTTTCTTTATCTTATGGACACTATGAACTTTGTAGCTAATCACATTTCCCTTTACATGCAGTATGCCACCTCAAGTTATAGATTTAAACATCCTTAAGTTATATACATAAACATGTACATGGGCATTCATATGGATGTATACACACATATATGTATTAACAAACATACATACATATTTGTTTGCATGTTATGTGGCACCTGGAAGGGTTCTTATAAATAGGCAGTATCTATTAGTTGATTAATCAAACTCCTTTTATCTCCACTGTCAATTTCCAACACTCTCCAGAGTTGCAATTTGGAGCAATTGCTTCAGTCAGTACATAGCAACTGAGAGGATGTAATTAAACAATTACCTTTAAGATTGTACTTTTCACTTTTGAAATTGCTTTATCCCTAATATCTTCAAGTTGTTTCAGTGCCCGAGTAGTTTGCTGAAACTGTTCTTCACAAAATTCATCTAGAGAATATGTTCGAGAAGTATCCAGCTAATTAAATGATAGTAAATATTGAGTGTTGGAAAGTCAAAAAACTCATTTACAAACAAAAAAGAGAAAGATGAGATACTTGGTTATCTTTTCACATCATAGATAAGAACATATTTTATGATTTCTTTTTTATATATGTATTATAGGTATTTTCTGTTTTTTAAATTTAAATAACCCATAGTTAAATCTAATTGAATCTTCATAAAAAGATATAAAATATACATTGTTATTTTAAATCATAATGAAGATTAAACTGAAGCAAAAAATTTAAAAGTTAAGGTGTTTTTAAAATATTTACAAACCTAGGGAACCCACCAGTTCTAGAAATTACTTTAACTTTTGATTTGCCCCAATTATTTGTAAAACTTAAAAACATGAACATGAAATTCAGGATAAAAAGGATTAAATTAAATAATAGCAATATAAATAATAAATTTTATTCAGAATTTGTTCAGAAGCTAGTGAAACTGGAGTTTTGAGATGAAACTTGATTCTTTGCTTCTGTTGGCAAGCAAGACAGAAGTTTCTTCACTTCTGCTGATAGGTAGGTGGTGGGGAGGTTTACCTATGTCCTTTAGTGTTGCAGCAGACTCCAGCAACTCACCAAGAATTTCTTCTTCTTTCTGAATTCTTGTCTTTTGAATTCAGAGAATGAAATCCACAAACCAGGATGAATGAGTCTAAGATCAGGATTTATTGAAGAATAGGAACAGAACTTTTGTAGCATAAGAGGGGACCCAATAGTAGTTTTCTTCATCCAAGTGTACTAGTCTGGGGGTTTATATAAGCCCTTGGGTCACTGTTATTAGTCCAAACTTAGGCTAATAAGGATTTACAAAAGTACTAATGCTATTAAAATTTATGCTAATTAAGGTTTGAAAAAGGAATAACACAATTGGTTAACCCTGAAACTCATCAGGTTTGCCTTACTTCCATTTTCTCTACCCTTTGGAATAAAAGGAGGTTGAAGTCATCCAATTGCTCATGCTCAGTTGGGTGTCTGGAGCTGCAGAGCTTTCAGGAGTGCACTTTTGCAGCGGATATGACCAGTGTGAGCAGACTGGGCCGCCAAGGGCTGACAGTTCAGCTTGCCTCAGCTGACCCTTGCGCTGGCCTGCTGTGCCTCAAGCCTGCATTGCCATGGCAGGCTCCACATGGCAGCTCATACTTGCTGCCCGTACTTCAGCCCGTACTTCAGCCCATCACTTCACTGCTCCCCTGATGCTTCTAGGTAGGGACAAGTGGACTGGCTTCATGGCTTGGTGGGTAACCATGTCATCATCAGAAACACACACACACACACACACACACACACACACACACACACATACACATCAACCATGCTGTTTATCTTTGTTAATAATATAGAAACAAAAAGTTTCACCCATTCATGTGTAGGCCATCATTTTTCCTTCTTTCAATATTTTCTTATTTTTTCCTATATTACTATGTTAATTTTCTTGACACAATACATTTCACCAATAAATATGCAGACAATGTTTTCCCTAGATATAATACAAAATAAGGTAAGTTGCCCAAACAAACAAAAAAGTTTAAGAAGTACTGCTTTAGCCTTAACATTGTGGATTTACTTTTTGAGTTTCTCTCTTGGTTCCATGACTGATTACTAGTTCCTAATTTTTTTAGTAAAATATTTCTCAGAAAGCTCCCTTTTTTTTTCCTGGTCTCACTGCCAACCCCCTAATTGAAGTTCTTATTGCTTTTGCTGATATTATTTTCATAGTGTACCAATTAATTCTTTAACCCCAGATCTCTCCACTTACAATTTTTTTCTACACACAAGTATCATGGTAATTTTCCTAAGAATACCATGCTGGGAAACTTTCAATAGTTATTCTTTCAGAAAAGTTCTCAAAATTTACCTGGCATAAGATCACCTCAGAAACTTGCTAGAAGTATAGATTACCAGCCACTATCATCTCCCCTAAAAGTACATCTTTATTAAGCACCCCCAATTTTTCCCAATAAAACAAACATCACTCTTGAATATGAAACAATCCAAAGTCTCAACTCTACCTTGTTCTGTAAACTTGGATAAGGATAATCTATCAGTTTCATCATTTGAAAGTAAAGGTTTGAATAAAATAATCCACATGTTCTTTTCTTTTTACATTAACAAATTTTAATTAACACTTTTTAGTAGCACAATTACATATTTATCTATTTTATTGAAGCATGGCAATTATATATAATAGTGGGATTCATTTTAAAATATTCATAATGCACACAATATAACACTATAATATGGTCAATTCAATTCCCCAGGATTTCTTCTCTCCCTCCTCTCTCCTATGTCCACCTGAACCCCTTCCTCTACCCTATTAGTCTCCCTTCTATTTTCATTAGAAGCCCTCCTTCCCTTTTTTTTTCTCTCTAGTTTCCTCTCATGACCCTTAATTTTCTGAGTTTGGCTTATTTTGCTTAATATAATGCTCTCAAGCTCCATCAATTATCCTGCAAATGGGATATAATTTCATCCTTATTTATGGATAAATAAAATTCCATTTTACATATATGTAAATTCATATATGTTTATATATGAATACACATACACACACATAAATGAATAGTTGTTCATTCATTGATCGACATCTAAGCTGTTTCCAAAATTTGGCTATTTTGAATTATGCTTTTATAAACATGGGTATGCATGTATTGCTATAGAATGTTGACTTTAGTTCTTTAGGATAAATACTGTGGAATGGTATAACTGTGTTATATGGTGGTTCCATTCCTAATCTTTTGAGAAATGATTTCCATACTAACTTTTTGTTTTTGTTCCACATGTTCTTTCACTTCTAGTTCTAGAAATTTCACCTCATTTACAGGTGTGCTTTTATTCTGGTAGAGTATTACATGTGTATAGTTAACACATAACATGGTATGCTCATGAGTACCATTCATGGCACAGAAGAATCCTCTCTGTTACATGCATAACCTTGCTTCATTATCCTCAGCTCCCTACTGTCAGTCTTTATTGGTGTCTGCATCTCCCAGCAATGCATAACCTCCCAGTTCTAATCACAACTGGTCACCTTTTCAATCCTGACTTCAGGCTTTGCTCTCCCTCTATCTGAGACTGGCTTCTCCATGGACAGTCTCAGGAACTCCCATTCTTACAAACTGTTCACCTAACAACTCCCTCTAAAAATGTTCCTGCCCTTTGGGGAGATTTGGATCCTATTTTTCCCTTCTTGTATTATTCTAAGCCTGACATTCATGAACTAAACTGACTATTAAATCAAATTTATATTGAATAGCTTATCCACATTTGAAATCCTTATTTTACTGTCTTACCCTTCTTTTCTGACTACTAAAATTCAGCATGGCCTAACTCACAATGTAAAGCATGTCCTAACTTGACTCCAAATAAAGATAATTTCTGCTTCTGATTTCTATGATATCACTGTTTTTTACAATAATTATATATAATCAATTCTAAAATTAAAATGTTAATTGATCTTACCACATGTGTATAGTTATAGTTAACACAGTAAATTTTTTATCTGATTGTCAAAATCATAATTTGTCCAAGCCCCTTAACAATTTTACCTTTCAGTATCTCCTCTATACAGTGGGTTGATGAAGTAAAATCTGCTGAAATCCTATTCAACTGTACACTAAATTCTTGAGATTTATAGTTCTATGTGTTTTAACTCTTCAAAATATATAAATATAATTAAATCATTTCATTAAAAAGTTCATTCTTTATAGAATGTTGAAACAAGAGAATTCATAAATTTAACTAAAATCTCGAGTTGCAACTTATAAGTTCTTAACATGTATATGTGGTGTATATATATATACACACACACACACACACACACACACACACACGAAGGAAGGATAGCTGAAAAAAATATATATATATGAGGGAAGGATAGCTGATAGCTGCCAATCATGTATTAGGTAAAATAATACTATATTGTATTGTCTCTAAATACATATGTAAATAAAATAAATAAATAAAGTAAATAAAACATCTCAGAGATTTAGGTTAAGAACAAGAAAGACATTCTTTCTAAGGAATGTTATTAACTGTTAAAACTGACATCCCTGGCAATCATGTCCTTATTTTAGAAGAATAGTCACTCATAGGAATGGTTTACTTATGGATCTAGAAATCTGTTTTCCTTTCATTCAAAACTTTGCTTATATCTGGAAGTTGTGGTTCACTCCCATAATCCCAGTGATTGAGGAGACTGAGATAGGAGGAACAAGAGGATCACAAATTAGAGGACAGTCTCCGCAATTTACTGAGACCCTACTTCAAAATGAAAATCACAAATTAGAGGAAAGTCTCCGCAATTTCCTGAGACCCTGTCTCAAAAAGAAAAATAAAACAGGGATGAGGATGTAACTCAGTGGTAGAATTCTTGCAGGTTCACTCCTCAGTACCAGAAAACACACATAAATATACACATTCAGACATACAAAACTCTTTCACTTGTTCTTTCCAGTTTTCACATACCAATATTAGCTGATTGTAGTATACTTTTACCTACCTTTACAAGCCATATAGCAGATGTATTATCTTTGTGTTCATTATCATTTTTGAGATTAATTGCATCTTCACAAAGTCCTTTTACATAAAGCAAACATATTTGAAATATCTCATCAGCCCAAAAAAGATTGTGGTACAAAAATGTCCTGAAAGAAATTTTCAAACTAATGTCTCATTTCAAATAAATAAAATTAATTAAGAAATAGCTAGCATAGTTTATTTCATATTTCTGTAATTAAAATGTTCTGCATTGACCTCATTTTAAATGAAAACAACTGGTAAACATTAGGGGTTGCGTTTAGTTCATGTTTTGGATGCTAAATGGCACCAAAATAGGGAGGGTAACAATGATTATTGAATCAAATTATTGAATTTCAATAATTTTGAAACATCAACCAGTATTATCTAAAAAGAATTACATTTTCTCAATTTATTAAATTTATTAAATCTAAATAAAATTTTTCAACTTACTTTTCTCTCAATTATAGGTTTTTAACTGGATTATAGGTTTTTAACTAACGTTTCTCTCAATTTATAGGTTTTTAACTGGATTGGGGCCTATTTAGAGAATATTTCTCAAATTTTCTAACTACCTATGTCCTAAAATAGGGAAGATGGACCTTTTTCTTTTTTCTGCTCTTTTTCACTAGTCTATTCATGACCACAAAGCAAGTCACTGCCAGCAACATTAGAAATTACAGACATAACTAGAGAGAGAAAGAGCAGAGTGAAAGAGAAAAGTCTTCTTAAAAATAAAAGCTTCCCTGTTTGTGGAAAAGAGAGGGTTTTCTATGCTTTGTGATCTCTAAAGGGTGGCTGATTTTTAAGGCTTATCATGCTTATGATATACCTAGAAAAAAATCATTAGCTCTTCCATGTTTTCCCCTGTTTATAGATAAAAGCTTTATATTCTATGAAGCTAGTAAAATTTAAGCTTCATGGTCCTTTCATTTGCACTGCCCCTTCTAAAGTCTTGTGTTATTTATCTTAAAGATGGCTTTAATTGCTTCTGGATCTTGTTACTAAGACTAAGTGTAGTATCTGTTTTATCAGTTTAAAGAAGACCTCCTCAAATTATATAGCTTCACATAAAACAGAACTAGATGTAGAAGAATTTCTTTGACAACTTCCTTCTCAGGATTTGGCACAAGGAAGGAAACAAGAAGCACATTGTGGAAAGTAAAATATTACATGAAACAAATGCAATTTTAGTATTTATTAACAAGATGATGACTTTCAAAATTCAGGTAGTAATAAACTCACACTATCCATCATTGCTTAAAGCTTTCTTTTTTCCTATTCAGTTTCAGTTTGCATGTTTTAACCAGAAACAAGACTGAAGAGGGTACATTTAAAAATAATTATAAACATGGAAAGTATAAAAAAATTGAATTTATAATGCAAAATTTGACAAGAGAAAAGTAAGGCATAAATTAATACTGTGCATAGTTGCATAATTACAGTGCACATAATGTGAGGAGCTAACCACAAATTTCCATTTTCATTTGCAAAAGAAAATTAAATATATTCCCCCAAAATTTTAGCCACATAAAAGAACTGCTTGGTATTAGAGAATATATTACATAAGGCCTTATTAAACCCCAGGTCTTGGCCTCCAGGAAAGTAGAGTTGATGTGCTTTTTCCTATTCTTCCAACCAAGTATAACTAAAAACTCCAGGGCTGGGAATATAACTCAGTTGATAGAGTGTTTGCCTTGCATGCACAAGGCCCTGGGTTCAATCTCCAGTACCTCAAAGAAAGAAACAAAACAAAAAACTCCAGACATTGTGTAAAAGAAAACATAAGAAGACACTGAAAAGTGGAGAAGAGAAGCACACTGGTTAAGGGATAAGTGGTAAGTGTCTTCCTTAGGTTTTCTTTTTCATCATACACCCCAGACTTTGAACTGTAGACACTGGCAACTTGGAAATGCCAATGTGTGCAGACAGAAAAAAGAAAAAAAAGTAATGAAAATGCCTTTTTTTTTTTTTTAAGCTAAAGGACCTGGAAAGGGGCAGTCTATCAAGACAGAAACATTTAGATAATATTAACTCTACTCCAGCCAAATATCAGAGGAACAAAATGTGGTGAATGTGGAGCTAATATCTCCATGGGAGATTTCAGGGAAGGTTCAAGTAGAGATGAATGGGTAAAGAAATTACACATAAATAGAAAAAAAAAATAGAACATAAATAAGAACCAAATGGATTTTTTGGGGGGCTAAAAACCACAGTAACAGAAATGGGAAAAAAATGGAAGACTGAAGTGGACAGAAAGACAAATCAGTGAATTGTAAAAATATATAAAAATTATCTAATCGGAAGCACAAAGAGGAAGTTGACTGAAAAAATAAACTCCAGCGAACCTGTGGAATCAGGAGAGAGAGAGAGAGAGAGAGA